GGTACAGCTCATCGCAGTGGACCATGTGGATCTGCAAGTGGTTACAATAAAGTGAATTTAAACAAATAAACAAACAAAAAAACTTTGAAACAACCAAAATATCCATCCGTAGTGGTTAAGGAATTATATACTACATCTATACCTGTAGCTGGTAAGAAGAATTAGGAAAAGGTATCTGGGATGTATCGTTAGATGAATAAAGCAAGCTACAGAACGGTATAGATAGTATGACCTTATTTGTGTGAAAGAAAAGAATATTTTGTATATGCTTGTAAATGCTTTTAGCAAAGTTCTACAAAAACACCCAAGAAACTGGAGGTGAGGGTGGCTATCAACTTCCCACTTTTACCCTTTTGAACGGTTTGAATGTCTTACCATGAGTATGTGTTGCTTATCATTTTAAAAAATTCATCTAGTCTTATACGCTGATCATTGAAGCACGCTCACCACATGTTAATCCTGGCTGTCCTTGAACAATTTAAGTGACGGAGAACTCAACTACCTCTTAACTACCAGACAGTGTTTTGACCAAGAACCCCCAAAAGATAATTAGTTTCTATTTGAGAAATGACCTTAGTAGCTAGAGGGCTGGACTAGAATTCTGCTGATAGTATCTATCAGTCTTATCTTTAGGATTCTGGAGTGGGACAGCACAGTTTTGATGGATAGGTCTCGGTATTTTTCCAGTTTAAAATTTTATTTTTGAATGTATGAACAAACTAATTGAGGGAGATACGTCTTCTGCAAACAGCCTTTAAGATAGTGGAAGAAGAGAATAAAAGACTTTTTAGGAAGCCATTTTAAGGAGGATATCAAGTGTACATATAATAAAAGATCCTTGTTTTCAAGGAAACTGATATCTAGGTAGGGGATAGGTAGGGTAAGATGCATGCAAAGTTAAAGGACACACAGGAATACAAGCATTGTTACAAACCAGGAAAAAGAAAAGTAATAAATGCCAAGTTAAAGGTGACAATATTGACTAGATTCAAGGGGAGATCTTAGGTGGAGAGAAGTGGAACTTGATCTGGGTTTTGAGAGACGGGTAGTAGGGGTAGGTGGCACTTGGGGGTGGAAGGAAATGGCATGAACAGAGATGGAAGCCCACAGGGAGAGTGACCATGAGCAAGCCCATCTGATTGCGTGCAAGGTGTTTGATAAGACCCTGTTTTCTTTTTGAAGATGATTCCCAGGGGGAGAATCAAGCCCTACCACAACAGATCTATGGGGCTTGGTTGTAGAGACCTAGTGGCCAGTCCCATGATTTAGAGTAAGGTTTAGGGTTAGGGTTAAAGTTAGGGTTTGGGTTAGCCTTGAGGTATGGGTTATGGATAGGGGTAGGGTTATTGTTGTTGTTGGGTGCCATCAAGTCTGTTCCAATTTCTAGTGACCCTATGTACAACATAACAAAACATTGCCTGGTACTGCGCCATCCTCACAATAGTTTTTTGAGCCCATTGTTGCAGCCACTGTGTCAGTCCACCTTGCTGAGGGTCTTCCTCTTTTTCACCGACCCTCTGCTTTACCAAGCATGATGTCCTTCTCCAGGGACTGGTCCCTCCTGATAACATGTCCAAAGTACGTGAGATGAAGTCTTACCGCCCTTGCTTCTAAGAAGCATTCTGGCTGTACTTCTTCCAAGATAGATTTGTTTGTTCTTCTGGCAGTCCATGGTATATTCAGTATTCTTTGCCAACCCCATAATTCAAATGCATCAATTCTTCTGTGGTCTTCCTCATTCATTGTTCAGCTTTCGCATGCATACGAGGTGATTGAAAATGGTTTGGGTCAGGTACACTTTACTCCTTAAGGTGACATCTTTGTTTTTTTAACACTTTAGAGAGGTCTTTTGCAACAGATTTGCCCAATGCATCATTTGATTTCTTGACTGCTGCTTCCATGGGCATTGATTGTGGATCCAAGTAAAATGAAATCCTTGACAACTTATTTTCTCTTGTTTACCATAATTGTAAAAATGGTGTGGCAGGGGTGTCTGACCTCCTCATCTAACTTCACGAAGGGGAAGGAGAATCAAGATCAACAGTTCAAGGCTAATTCCTATGAGGCGGGGGTCCTACCTCCTCTCTCCAACATTTTTACTAATTCTGACACCAACTGACCCTCCCGTGGCTCTCTCTACTTCTCTGCTGGGTTTGATAATTCGTTGCAATGGCCATGCAGAACTCATAGACCATACTCATAGTTATGGGGTTTATTAGGGAAGTAACAGGTTACCATTCAGGTTTAGGAATGCTCAGGACACAGTTCCTTGATCAGTATAGCCCCTTCTCAGCCGTGCCTATAGGTACACCTCTCTCTGGCCCTTGGCCCCTCTGACAAGTACCCAGAGGCACCCCACTCCACCAGTAAGCCTCGGCCCAAAGCCACTCAGCTCTAGCTCCATGGATCAGCAAACCTAGCTCAGTCAGGTGCCCAGAGGCACCCTACTCTGCCAGCAAGCCTCCTGCCCAAAGGTGCTCAGCTTTCTCACTCCATGGGCCAGGAAGCCCACTGTGCCATCTCCTGCCTGTCTCCTGCCTCTGCTGCCACCATTTCTCTGCTGCCACTTCTCACCGTATTCAATGTTACATCCCTCTCTCAGTCTCCTGGTTCCAGGAGCTTCTCAGCGCAGGGATCCCAGGTCCAAAGGACATGCCCCACTCCTGGTTCCTCTTTCTTGGTGGTGGTGAGATCCTTCCTTCCCATGTCTGGGATGGTTAATTTTAAGCCTAATGGAGTGGCAAAACTGACCACTCCCCTTGTTAGGGTTCCATACACCTTATTTACATGGTTCCACCCCCACAAGGATGCCATGCACCTTATTTACATTGTTATCAAGCTATCTAATCCCGTTGGTGGGCCACAAGTATCTCATTTGCATAGTTCTGCCTAGTCATTTGGTGGGAGTTACAAAGACTATGAATAGAAGGACCATATTAAGTAATTGCCTGCACCGCAGTGATGTTGCTTATTGGTCTACTGGTGAGGATTTTTGTTTTCTTTAGGTGCAATCCATACTGAAGGCTGTGGTCTTTGATCTTTATCAGTAAGTACTTCAAGTCCCCTTCACTTTCAGCAAGCAAGGTTGTGTCACCTGCATATTGCAGGTTGTTAATTAGTCTTCCTCCAATCCTGATGCTGCATTCTTCTTCATATAGTTCAGCTTCTGGGATTATTTGCTGAGGGGTAGGCTTAGGGTTAACTTTAGGGTTAGGGTTGGATTTTGAGTTAAAGTTAAGATTAAAGTTAGGGATAGAGTTAGGCTTAGGGTTAGGTTTAGGATTTGAGATAGAGTTAGAGTTGGTCAGCAGATGAACATGTCTGGGCCGGTGGGTATATGTTTCCTAAAGATCTGTTTCAGTGGAGAGGTCTATGAACCAACAGGATTTTCATTTCCTGGACTATGTAAAACATGGAAAGTAAAGGCAGGGGCTGTTTTGAAATGCACTGTTTATTTATTTTTTACATTTTTACTTGTTTCTGTATCAAAAGTGAACAAGCATATAATTAAATACAATTACAAGAACATTTGACTCCACAGTCTGGTATCCTTACGGGACCGTGTGTGGCTGTCACTGTCCAGTGTATAATGAAAAAAAAAATACAATAAAAAAATGAGAAATTTTCACTGAAGAACATGGTGGGATGATTAGGATTCTATTAGATTACATTCATTCCATATCTATATGCAATTCTTCAATAGATTGATCCTTATGCCGTACCCTCTAGCTAATAGATTTTCAAAAAGATTATCTAACTGGGATAGTTGAGCCCATGCTCATTGTCTCTCCCATTCTGTCTCTCTCTCACGTGTCCACTGCTCACACACAGCAGCCGGAAATGACACATCGAAGTGAGTCACCAATGCGGTTGTGAGTCACCCTGTAATTGCGGAAAGTTCTGTCCTGGTAGGTCGTGCAGCCCCTTGCACTTCTGCTCCTACATGTATTGGAAGATTTTGAAACCATGCTGTTCTCACCTACCCCAGTTTTTTGGTCACTAAAGTGGGCTGAAGTTAGATAATCTTTGCAGGGACCCTACTTGATCAAGTGGAAAGGCAAGGAAATGAGAGGAGCAGAAGGCGTTCGGGCAGCCACATGGTGGCAGTGTGGGCCCCATCATCACACCTGACGCCCAGAGGGTATGACGGTCAAGTGACCTGAGACTCAATGGCAACCTCTTCTGCTCCCAGGCCACAAAGGAACACTACAAGCAAGTGGAAATACTACATTTTTCTTGATAGTTCTCTCTCTTTCTAACGGGCACACAGGGGAAGGATGTGATAAATATTCAAGCACACTGCTGGCATCCCACCCTCCCCACCAGGAGATCGGGGGCAATGAGCCAGCACCCATCTAAACTTTCATCCTCTATTCTTGCAAAATAAAGTTTGTGGGAAGCAATAACCTGCTTCCACGAGTAAACAAGTCACCTACACTCCAAAATAACATATGCACACTGTTTCCGGGGAGGGAGACGGCCAGGCCTGGTGGGTACCAGCACTAGGTAGGTAGTTGCTCTGCCAGTCCCCAGCACCTCTGATGCTAGGGAGGCACTGCCAGTGCCAGAATGGACCTTGAGATGAAAGGGTGTTTTTCCCATTGGCCTTCGTTGGCCTGATGCCAGCCTCCTCAGCAGTGGCAGACAGTGCAAGAGTGAAGGCAACGTGACCGGAACACAAATAGTTTCTACAAGCACACAAAAGCTTCTGTAAGCCTGTGGTTCCCCGCTGCCAGGGTCTCAGTGGGAACCAGGTCGGAAGACCTGAGTGGGCAGGAAGATGACAGGAGCAGTTGTACACATGGTCCTGTGAGTGTTAGAGTCTGTTTGGGAGACTTCCAAGGAGTTATGCTTCCGAGTTCTCTTCCAGGCTCTCCAACTAGGAGTTTTACCCTACGTTCCTCTTCTCACCCTTCGGGAAGGATCCTCCACTGGGAGAGGCTGAGGTCTAAGAGGCAGATTTGAAAGATTTACGAAAAAAAAAAAATTTTTTTTTTTTTAAGGCAAATGTCTTTTTTTTCTCCAGAAAGAGTAATTAAAAGAAAAAAAATTTTTTTTCAGAGTTTCTTCTTTTCTGATCTCCAGTTCTGTCCCAGATGATAGCGTTTTTTCCTAGAATCACGGTTCCATCACTTGACCCATGAATAAGACTGTTCCTGAGGATGGAAAAACAATCATGGGAGTTTAGATTGGAAGAAACTGTGCAGCTCCCACTGAGATCCCAAGAAGATAAGTGAGTTGTCAGGAGTCATAGCTGCTTTACTGACTAAGGCAGGACTGGAGTCCAGTCTCACTGCACAGCACTCTGTCTACAGGAAAGTGGAACAGAATGGATAACTGAGGGACGTTAGGCATCCTTTGCCTACAGTCCTCCTGGGGCCAGAGAGGGGTGTCTGCATCTGTCTGGGTTGGTGCTCCAGACAAGGATGATGAGTGGAGAACTTGTGGAGCATCATGGGGTTTTGGCTCACCTGTGGGGTTATGCCGAACCACAAAGAGGAAGGGTCTGTCCATGATGATCTCTTCAGGGACCATTCGGGCTGAGGCCACAACAGCTGGAAGAGAAGACACAATGTCTTAGAACAGAGGAACATTGGCCATGGTGCCCTGGATGGTTTCCTTCAGTCGCTTGATTAGAGCGCTATCAGCTATCCAACCTCAAATAAACGTTTCTCTAAACTGTTTTTGGGCTTCTAGATAAACAGGTTCCTTAAGTTTACTGCCCACTATGGAAACAAAGCAGGTTTTTCACATTCAGGGGACCTCAGAAGCCATCAAGGGAAGGAATAGGGGCCCAGGGAAAAGGCCTTTTTCTAAGCCAAGAATCTCCAGCGGGGGAAGAAAGAACTGCCCTGGGGAGAGAGGCCTGCTCGGAGAAGGCTGCAGTGCCTGGGCCTCGTGCTGCCTCATTCCTGGTTCAGGGACTGGTTATCTCGAAGGCCAAAGCCTCACCCGGGCCAGACTCACCTGTGGACGAGGATGCCACTGTGCCACTCTCATTCACCTCAATCTTCACTTTCTGCAGTGCCTTCGATATATAGAGCTGCTCTTGATCTGAAACAGGTGGGTACAACGGCGATAAGTTCTCAGAGAGAAGTTCCTTTGTCCTCTTAGGGGACCCACAGTCCACCAAGGGGGGGATAAAGTAAAAGGAAAATCCCTTACCTGAAAGACTCGTGAAGTCTGCCCGTTCTGGCCTGAACATGTCAGTCATCCCCAAGTTCTCCAGGGGTCTTCTGAGGTCAACTTCACTCTCCAGGGAGAATCTGTAGGGCGGGAGCAGGAAGCAGCTGAAGCTCGGCCCCCTCTTTCTGACAGCTCCTGGCCCTCCTAACCAGGGATACCCTAGCCCCTACCAGTCCTCCCCACGGGCAGACGGGCATGATGGACACTGATGTGAAAGTAGAAGAGGGAGGCCTGCTTTGTGAGATCCGTTTGCAAGGTCTCTTACTGCTAGAGATTTCTAATATTAATGAACATTCTTCTGCCACCCCACCCCACCCCACCCCCTCAAGCCTATGACTAATTACTTTCCTCAAATAAAACAGTAGTTTCAGCATAATTTTATTCAGTCTGGCTGGGGGGCCAAGGGCAATTTTCCCAGGAAGGATATTTGAACAAAAATCTGGTCTGCAGATTGTGTTTTTGAGAGCTAATCCTGAAGAGGATTCAAGCAGAGAGGCTTGGGGCACTTTCTGCTTCCCACCGGGGGATGACTAATTACCTCTTTTTTTATTAGAGAGAGGGGTGGGGGAGAGAAACCGAACCATCTAAGTGTCTATCCCTCTTTCCCCAAGCCTGGCATTGTAAGCACCTGGAAGTTTGGGGTAAGCATAGTAAGAGGGTTCCCAACCTGAGCCTTCTCCACCCCTTTGCTCCTGCAGAAAGATATAAAAATCTGTTTTGTGGCCATTGGAAACCCCAGCTAGAAGCTGCAATTTGGGCTGTTACATCTGTGGAAATGATTCCTTTTGTTCCCAGCATCTGGATGTTGACTTGAGATGGGGGTGGGTGGGTAGGGAATGAGGGGCAACCAAAAACGGATTTAGATCAATTTAGCCTCCCACCTCCATCATATTTCTGGTTCTTCTTTTGGCTGGCTTTTAATGGGTATTCCAGGGTGGTAAATGTGGGGGAACCAACTACAAAAGCTCCCCCTGCCCTACAGCAGAAACAGGAGGAGGGGCCCATGAGAGGAGTCTTAATCAAACCCAGGGTAGAAGATTTCCCATCACCCTCCCACACATGTCCCTGCCCTGCAGAATGACAGGGTTCTGGGAATCCTAATGGGGTGGTGCTTTCAGGAGCCAAGAAAGAGGAGAGAAGAGGGAATTAGGGCATTGGCAAGTGTGGCAACAGCAGGGGCTGGCTTACTTGGGCAGAACCAGGAGGCGGAGCAGTCTGGTCATATTTCCTTTCCACTGGCTGATGAGCTGGGCATCCAGAATGTTGGTGAGGGCAGAGAGAGGCACCTCTTTTTCATAGGGAGCAGCAATGAACATGCTGATAGTATCTCCGTGGTAGGGCATTTCCAGGATGTCGTAGTAATGACCATCAGGGGTGGAAAACTCGCCTATAAAGACATGAAGATCGCTCTCTTGTCCTCTCTACTCTTTCTGGAAGCAAAGCTCTCCATTCCAGCTTTTGGGGATCCCTATCCCCACTGCTCCCCTATTCAGTGTGTTTATTTCCATTTCCCATCTCTCTTTTGCTTGTTCACAGTGTCTTCTTGTTTCTCTGTCTCTTTTTGGTCTTCTTTACCTGCATTCTCCTCCCCCACATCCAGCCACTTATTTCTTCCAGTACACATTCCCTTAACCTCAGCTCCCACATAATCTTCCCCAGCAAGATTTCTTGGCCCCAGGTAATCACACTAGAAACACATTTGGATGAGGCTGGGGTCAAGTGGTCCAAAGTGGACCTGAGGGAATTTCTGGATTTCAGCTTCAGCTTGCATTAGATAAAGCTACTTTCTTCCCAGGGTCTCCCACTTGGGAAATCTTCGTCAAAGCTGGGGCATATTCTAGAGTTTCTTCTCCCTCAGAGGGGAACATTCTCTGCAATCTTCCTCCCTCAGAAGACAACATTTGGGATGTCCCCCAGGAGACCCAAAGGATGACGTACAGCAGTTGTAGGACTTGGGGGAGGGGGTCTTGCACTTACTGTAGTTGAACTTATTGGTCTGAGCCATCATGGACACAGAGACAGTGCTGCCGTCGGGCTTGTGGAAGAGTCGGTGGTGGGTGCCCGAGGCTGGGAAGGGCATCTTCCACTGGCCATTAAAGTAGAGGGCATTCACCAGTACCAGACGCGTCAGCTGGTCCACAGCCCCTTTGCCAAGTAAGTTGCTGATCATGCCTGTGGGAAAGCCAGGTGATCAGGAGACTTGTTGTGTGTTGTGAGTCGACTCCGACTCATAGTGACCCTATCTAATACAGTAGAACTGCCTCAGAGTTTCCTAGGCTGTAATCTTTATGGGAAAAGATCATCAAGTCTTTTCTTCTGCAGAGGCACTGAGTGATTTCAAACAACCAACCTTTGGGTTAGCAGCTGAGCACTTGACCATTGTGCCACCAGGGCTCCTTGATCAGGAGACTAGATAGTTTTCATTCTCTTAGATGATTCCCTTCAGCCCCTAGTCCTCAAATGGCCGTATGCTGAAGGGATCCAATGGGAGGGGCTGACTGGGAGTTTAAATCCTTCAACCTGTCCCATCCTCCTATGAGTCTCAGAAAGTCCTCCCACTCACCACACTTTCTCGGTTCTGGGGGCCTATCCAGGATCCGACTCTGAAATTTAAGTCTTCCCTTATTTCACCCCTTACTTTGCCCTCTAAGCTGCAGTCTTGCTTGTCCTGGTTATTGCTGTTCTTATTAATTCCCACAACATTGTTTAGGGATGCCCTTGGAGTTGATTAATGAGAAGGCCTAATTATGAGAAATACTAGCTATTATGCTTTGGTTCTTAAAGCACTTGGCTTTCAGTCCACAGAGAAGAGAATGCTGAAAGGGAGAAGTTAGGTTACTTGGATTTGTTCCCAAATCCCCTTTTCTTTGCAGGCCCTTGGCTCACCTCTTGTGTGAGTCTTCACCCAGTCATTGATGATGAACCTTGCTTTCTCCACCTCTGTGAAGTTCACCTGCTTGACCGTGCTTCGGAACAGCCTGAAGAAGTGGGGCATGAAGCCCTGGACCAGCTTCAGGTCCCGCTGGACGAAGATGGCATCAGCGGTGTTGATCTCGTCCTTGTTCCATGGCCCCATGAGCTCCTTGTACAGCTGACGGAGGGCAGGAGCTACGCCCTTCTCTGTGCCGAGGGAAGGAGGATAGGACGCTTTAGGCTCCTGTTGAGTGAGGGCTGACTTCCCCAGTGAGAGGCCCCAACTCTGCCAGATGCATGGGTCTCTCCTCCTCCCAAGGGGTCTCTAGAGGGAGATTTCCTTCCAGACTTTACTCCCTTTTCCACATCTTCCTCCTTTCCTCAAAAGTCTCAGGTTCTAGTCCTTCCTTTGGGTTAGAATATTCTCATGAACCCTAATTTTTTTCTTCTAATAGTAATAGTGATGCTAAGCATTTCACATGCATCATTCTATTTACTCCTTACAGCAGCTCTCTATATAAGTTACTTTCATTATCCCCATTTTGTAGATGAGTAAACTGAGGTTTAAAGAGGTTAGATAACTTGTCAAAGGCCATGCAGTTAATAAATGCTGATACAAAGGTGTTTTACACCAAATCCACTGGCCTGTACACCCTGTGACTGGTCAAGGGCCAAGCGGTGCAGGGTGTGGTTGAAGAAAGAGGTGGTCCCAGTATCATAGCAGTACATGAGATAGCTTGGCCAAGCCGGAGCCAGCCTTTTCTCAACTTGGTGAAAACCTTTACTTCTGGCTGATGGGACCCCTGCCCTGTGAAACCTGTGCCACTCCCGGTGCCCACAGTGCCCATCTCTCACCATTAATCTTGAATTGCATCGCTGCGTGGAGTTGTTGCTGAGTGTTCCCTCCCGTTGTCAGCTGCAGCATGGCCAGCACTGACGACACCCCATAGGGTGAGAAAACCACGTTGCGGTCCTTGGAGGCCTGCACCACCTGCTGAAACACCTTCACACCAAAGTCTGTGGCCAGATGGGTTGCCTGGGATTCGGACAAGGCTGACCCCTCACCAAAGATGAGGGCCAGGCCCAGGGCGAGGCAGACAAGGGCTGGAGACCTCTGCATCCTAGAGCAAGTGGGAAAGAACCTGATGAGAGAATAGTTCTAGAAGACTAGAGGATGGGGAGGGGAGATGGCACCTCAGCCATACACCAGGGCTCCCCTTGTCTGCTGCTGGTGGGTGACAGGTGAACTTAAGGGCAAAGTTCATTAAGAAAGCATAATAAATTCAGATTCTGAGCCTGCCCATTCTGTCTCCGACTGATTTTTATCACGCCAGGGGGCTGAGAGGATAAATTATAAAAACATCTTTGATTTGCATGATGCTTTTTAAGTCTCAACACTTTGACAACTATTCTCTTATAATGCTTTTACAGTTATAACAAGTTGTTATTGTTAGCTGCTGTCGAGTCCGACTCATGGTGACCCCATGCACAACATTGTGATCCATAGCTCCACTGAAACCTGTCCAGCATCACAGCAGCACACAAGCCTCCACTGACAGACAAGTGGTGACTATGCATGAGGTGCATTGGCTGGGAATCAAACCTGGGTCTCCTGCATTAAAAAAAACAACAACAAACCCACTGCCATCAAGTTGATTCCAACTCATGGCAACTCTATAGGACAGAGTAGAATTACTCCATAGGGATTCCAAGGAGCAGCTGGTGGATTCAAACTGCCAACCTTTTGGTTAGCAGCCAAACACTTAACCACTGCACCACCAGGACTCCTGCATTGAAGGCAAGAATTCTACCACTCAACCACCAAGGCCCCCTTCAAGTTAGCAGGTATGAAAACCCCTTTCCTGAGGTGGGAAAGGAGGAAGTGTCATGATTGAGAGGGACAAAGAGAGTCAAGGTTACTGATTCTGGGTGATAGGGTTGTTGGTGCGGCCTGGCCACCTTCCCCACTCCCCTATAATCACCGCTAAGGAGCAGTTAGCTCAAGACTACAGGTCTTCAGGGACCCTCTGAGGAGACAGAGGAAAGGTGGGGGATTTTAGGCCAAGGAGTCTGTGGAGAGAGGAGCTCTCTGCTTAAGTCCCAGATAGGAGATGGGGGAAGTTTGCTCTTCTCTTACCTGAAGTTCTCAAAGTGCCTTGTGGTTGTAGGTTTGTTCTGCTGCTGTTGTGCTGTGGCTGCTGTGGAGCTGTGGCGCTCCTGCTCTGGATGGGGTGCCAGCTGCTGGAGTGGGGCGTAGCTCCTCTAACAGCCTCTGGTTCCTGAGCCAGATGCAATTGCTCCTGGGGCTGTGCCTCCCTTTATATTAGATGTGGGCAGGAAGTAGACTAACTCATATTTTGGCCCCACCCCCCTTCTGGCTCTGGAAGTCTGTCTGCACAGCTGGCCGGGCCCCCTCGGCACCGCCCTCTCCAGGACTTGCTGAGGCGTGTGTGTGTGTGTGTGTGTGTGTGTGTGTAAGAGGGCCCCGGGGAAATTGAGCAAACACTGATTGTCCTGGCCAAAGGGCTTCCCTTGATTTTGCCACCCTCTGCCTTTGTCCCTCTCTTTTCTGATGTTTTGCCAGCTTGACCCTGGCAGTGCCAGGCAGCCAGAAATGCCCAGTGTTTGGCATTACCTTCCCCAATGCTCAGCTTGGGGAAAAGCAATTCTATTTTTTCCCTCTCCCTTGGAAAAATGGGTAACTGAGTTATCAAAGAAGCTAGTGATCCTGCCAACTTTTCCTCCACTATTCCACTCATGCCCGAGCCAGCCTCCAGGAAAGAACACCCCATTCCTCTTGGCTCATCGCAGTGGCCAGAGGGCCCTGTGAATGTCTGGATGTTGACAGTCTAGGACATGAGGACTCCCTGTCTCTCCTCTCCCCTGCCATGTGTCTGCCTGGCACGGGCTCTGATGATGCAGGGCTGACTCCCCCACGTGTCCAGACTCCCGAGGTGCCCTGACAGCTATCTTTTGTGGCAACAGCCCCGTCTGGCTGGCGTTTGAGGTACACTAGGCGGGGCGGTGGAGGCTGAAAGAGACCAGGGGTTATCAGGGTAAAGCCTTTGCAAGAAATTGGGAACCCAACCTAAAAGTTTTGTTTCTTTGAGCTGCCTGCCGTGACCGGGGAGAGGCTGTGTCTTATCCTTTTCCTGCAGATACAGACACTTGGAGGCCTGGAGCAGGAAAGCAGGAAGAGAAAGGGAAGGGCAAGTGCACGGCGGGTTTGTTTTCAGGTAGGAGTGCAGAGTGGGCAGTGTGTTCTGTAGAGGGTGGAAACGGGCCAGAGTTGAGTGTGTAGGACAGGACTCTTGCATTGGAAGTTTGGCTGGGTCAGGGACCCTTGGCTGTGTGGCCTGGATGTTGGGAGGGAGAGGTGGCTGGGGGTGCCAGAGGATCCTGAGAGGGGAGATGGTATAAGTGGTCCTGGGGTCCACACTCTGTCATGCTTTGTGTAGGTTGTGGGGTTCCAGCAGGAGTATCCATAGAGACATCTGAAAGCAGACTCACAGGAAGTGTAAGTGGGTGGTAGCATCAGGGTATTTGTTTTGGAGTTTTTCGGTAAACAGATACCAAGGGTAACCACAGCTGAACAGCTTTCCCATTTTTCCTCTGCCTCAGCTTTTGTTTTCTCCATTGCCCCTGGGAGTGAGGTGGGCGTGGGATGGCCGGGAGAGAAGGGGAAACCTCTGTTGGAAAGTTAGGATCACACACATGTTATAGAACTGTTCCTGTGCAGTTGCAGCTTGTATGGCTTTTTCCTTTTCTTAATTGCGGTTTGGATTCCCCAAGCGAGTGGTTACCATGAGGTGTAATTGTCCCAGCCTCTAGGATGAAGACAGAAGTCCAGCTCCTACCTCCAGAAATGCCCCAGTACCTTACCTTCTGTCCTTAGGGGTCAGAGGGGACAGGGATCTGGGAGTCTGGACTTGGAGCACCAAGCCCTAAGGAGTTGGAAGAGCGTTGTCTCTAGACACAGCTAGAAGTGGCTTCCAGAAGGTGCCTCAACCCCTGGCTTCTCCAGCCACCTGAGCTGAGTCCTGGTCCCTTCCTTGGTCTGTTATTCCAGGAGTCTGTTACCCACCTCTTACCAGGCCTCAGCCATAAAAGCCTGGTTGCTTTCTGTAGGTGGCCTGGGCCCTGCCAGGCAGTGACCAATTCCATCCTGCTCACAGACTTGATGGATGGGCCTGAAGCCTTTCCAGAAAAGATACTCAGCTCCTGGGCACAGGAAAGCCTGGGCACAGCTCTCTATGTTCTTGGCGGGGCGGCACACTTTACTTTGGAGTTAATCCCAAAGGAGAAACAGAAGGGGCTGGCTTACTAAGGGATCTTTTCCCAGACTGAGCGAGACTTGTGGGAAAATGGTGGGTGTGTGCTAGAAACTGAAGTGAAAACTAGTGTGTCTGGCTCCCAGGCTGAAGTGTCTGACTTTTCCTTTGAGTTGGTAGAGCTGGGGCCACCTAGATGATCTAGAATCACTCTTGACCACGATTCCTACCACTCCTCTCTGCAGATAGCCTTGCTTCCACCTTGTCCACCCCCTGCAGACGAGGCCTTCTACATGCTCCCCAGCAGACCTTGCTGCAACAGCCTTCTCAGAATCCAGCCTGACTCAAGGCACCATCACTTTCCCTCCTTTTCCTGAACCCCAAACTAATGCCATGACCCGTTATCTTATTAAAGCCTTGGCTCTTTTGTAAGAAGTCAAAGGGACAGAAAGGGAAAAGTCCCTGCTGTTGTAATATCTGGCATGCTGGTTTAGAGATAACCAGAGCGTCAGAGAGAAGAGGGTGAGTTACAGGGCTGTGAATTTTGGGGGGAAGTTCTAGTTCCAGCCACCTGGGAAAGCTGTCTCCATCCGCCCCGCAGCAAGTGGTTCATGATGAGACCAGACTCACTCTTTCCATGACCATTCCCCACCCCCATCCTTACGCCCCCGGTGGGCCCTTGGTTCAATTTGGGCTTTCAGCACCACCACAGTCTTCCCTCCACCCATCACCTCTTGCCCTTGAGTTGCCCTCCTGACGGCCCTCTGCTCTTCCTCTTTCTTCTCCTTTGCCTCTCCCGAAGGCCTGAACCCATCCTCATGTTCACTTTCCCTTCTATCTCTGAGACTCCCTCTCTGAGACTTTCCCCTGATTCCTGGTTTACCTCCCATTCCTTCCCCCCTTCTCCTCTACTCAATGCCACATGAGATCTTTCCCCCCTTTTCTGTGCTCTCTGACTCAATCCCTCTTTCCCTCTCCTCCCATCTTCCAGAATTCCTTTTACAGTCAAATATTCTGCTCTAGGCCTTCCTGTTGGGAAGAGAGAGCTGCCTCGGATCAGTTACACAGGCTCCCTGGAATGTTGGAAAAGGCTCCTGATTTTGGTGATTTCACTGGGAGAGCTGGGGGTGGGTCAGCAGGGTCCTGCTAACTCAAAGTACTATTTCTGGCCTGGTTGCTCTCCAAACAACACAGCACCAAAAATATCCTGTGTTTGGGTCTGACCTCTCCCTGTCTCATAGAAGAGAGGCTGTGGAGAGTACTCCACCTCTTTCTTCTAAATCCTTGGCCCTGGAACAGCCCAAAGCGGGGAGGCCTTGCCTGCCCAGGGTACCCTCCTCCCACCAGCTCCCTGCTGCACTTTCCCTACCTTTGCCTCCAGAACCCTCTCCTTTCTGCCTTCTCCAGGCTCCCCTTAAAAACAAAACACACAAACAAAAATCAAACCACTCCCTCTGAGTCAATTCTGACTCATAGGCGACCCTATAGGACAGAGTAGAACTCCTCCATAGGGCTTCCAAGGAGCAGCTGGTGAATTTGAACTGCCAGCCTTTTGGTTAGCAGCCGTAGCTCTTAACCACTGCGCCACCAGGGCTCCAGGCTCCCTTTAAGCCCCCATAATGTCCCCAACATAGCCCATGCTTATACACAGTTGCTTTTTTCCTCTCACTATATCATAGGGTTTCAGAGCTGGGAAAGGCTGTAAGAAGCATTTTCTTCTACAGGTGAGGGCCATTCAGTCCAGAGAGGTTAAGCAATGTGTTTAAGGCCCCATAGTGACGGCGCAATAAATGGAGAAACATTGGCCATAGGATCAGAGAGACCTGTCTTCAAGGCTGGGATCTGACACTTGTCGATTATGTGTTTTCAGGCAAAACTTAACCTTTTTTTTAAAAGGAATTTTGCTGTGCTCTAGGTGAAAGTTACAGTGCAAATTAGTTTCTCATTCAAAAACTTAAACACAAATTTTTTTGCGACATTGATTGCAATTCCTGCAATGTGTCGGCACTCTCCCCCTTGCCACCTGGGGTTCCCTGTATCCTTTTGTCCCATTTTCCTGTCCCTTCCTGCCTTCTTGTCTTTGCTTTTGGGGCAGCTGTTGTCCACTTAGTTTCATAGATTTGATTGAACTAAGAAGCACGTTCCTCACGTGTGTTATCGTTTGTTTTATAGGCCTGTCTAATCTTAGGCTATGCATGCGAAAACTGGGCAATGAATAAGGAAGACTGAAGAATTGATTCACTTGAATTATGATGTTGGCAAAGAATATTGAAAATACTGTGGACTGCAAGAAGAGTGAACAAGTCTGTCTTGGAAGAAGTACAGCCAGAGTGCTCTTTGGAAGCAAGGATGGCGAGACCTTGTCCCACGTATTTTGGTCATGTTATCAGGAGGGACCAGTCCCTGGAGAAGGACATCATGCTTGGTAAGGTAGAGGGTCAGCAAAAAAGAGGAAGGCCCTCAATGAGATGGATTGACACAGTGGCTGCAACAATGGGCTCAGACATAGCAATAATTGTGAGGATAGTACAGGACAGGGCAGTGTTTCATTCTGTTGTACACAGGATTGCTATGAGTCAGAACCGACTGGACAGCACCTAACAACAACAATCTTTGGCTGAAAGGTGAACTTCAGGAGTGGCTTCAGCTCTGAGTTAGCAGGATGTCTGGGGGCCATAGTCTCGGGCGTTCCTCCAGTCCCTGTCAGACCAGTAAGTCTGGTCTTTTTCTGTGAATTTGAATTTTGTTCTATTTGTTTTTTCATGCCCTGTTCAGGACCCTCTATTGTAGTCTCTGTCAGAGAGGTCAGTGGTGGTAGCCGGGCACCATCTATCTAGTTCTGGGCTCAGGCTGGTGAAGGCTGTGGTTTATGTGATCCATTAGTCCTTTGGACTAATATTTTCCTTGTGTCTTTGGTTTTCTTC